GAGATGAATGCGACTGTAAGTACTATGATTGTAAATTAAATGGTTTCATAGCACTTTACCAGTGGCTTTTGCTTCTTTTTGCATGCAAGTTCTATTGCCCTGAGGTCTAAATTATAATTTCATGGAGCTGAATTCTTAGCACAGTTTCATCTTGTTATTCTTATCAATATTTCTTGCATTTTCTATAGTCACGCATCTTGACAAGATCATTGGTACTATTATTGGACCAATTTTTGGAGCAATTGCTTTTATTGTTATTATTTTCTTATTACTCCTTTTCTTGCGGCATCGGATGAAAAATGAATAACACTACACACTTAGTTGTATTATGAAACTGAATGAATTATTACTTATAATTTTCCATGTTTTATTTTTCTAATCACTGGTAAAAGTATTGTAGTAATCCCTGCATTAATCAAAGCATCCACTCATTATATTAATCATAGTAGATCTACTACAGATCTATATAAGTACTATAGTATGGAATGCTAGTAATGATATCAATTTTTTTCTAATAGTTACTGCACGTGATCGTGTCACTGCTATTGTCCTTGGATCAGTTTTTGGAACTATTGGATTGATTCTTGCTTGTGTTCTTACTGTTACTGTCATCAGAAAATTTTGTTCTGATTAATCATTTATTATAATTTCTTTGTGTGATAATTAAAATTTTTAGTCTGTTATAAAATATTTTACATAAGTCCTAACATAGCAGAAAATGCCTTTCCAATAACTACAGCAAAATTATATCTTTAAACAACTTTTGATTAACTCTTGTAATTTCTGTATTGCAATTATACAAGTGTTTATACACTTATAGTACTAGATCTGGGTATAGTGTTATATTACTATAGTATTGGAATGTTAGTAATGATATCAATTTTCTTTCATTAGTTACTGACCGTGATCGTATCATTGCTATTGTCCTTGGATCAGTTTTTGGAACTATTGGACTAATCATTGCTTGTGTTGCTGCCTGTTGTTTTATTTTTTTTTGTTGGATTAGTAATTAATCATCAGTCATTATTAATTTTTATAAATTTTCATGATTTATTGAACTCTTTGTGCACAAAAACTAGCAATTTTACTAACTGCTTAAGTCTTTAACATCAGTAATATTGTATATGTACTATCATACTGCTATGCACATGTATACAGTCTATACACGTGTATAAAGTCAATAATATATAAATAATGAAAATTATAAAAAATCAGCTATAAAAATATATAGGTCACAAGTATTTTCTTCTAATTGCTACAGCAAGGTCATGTCTGTGAACAACATCTGATTCCAGTACCTCTACAATAGTATCCCAAGTGAAAGGAGGGCAATCAATACTGGTTTGCCAATGATGAAAAACAGCAAGATAACAGGCCATTGGGTTAGATTTGTTCTGTATATCAATAGAATACAGAACGGATGAATGAATATCAAGCATTGTGCCAACAACCATCCATTTTTCAGGAGCTTTAGCAGCCACATCATTCATAAGATGTCTTTCTTTAGGAATAGGAGGAGGAAGTGGAGGAGGAGATGAACCTAGACAATATACTTAAGTATCAGAGTTCACATAATTTATATAAATTACCATTGACTTTTCTTTCTTGACTTTCTAATGTTGCTTGTCTGTTTGTGTCCCTGCATGACGGTAATGGTCTAGCATCTATAAATAAGGTTTAATAGTAAAAGAATTCTGATTCAATACCTTACCTAAAGTTAGTTCCAGCATTGTAGTATCATCGTATATTTTGTATTCACCAAGAGTTTTGTCGTCATTCATTTTAAACTGGCCAAAAATTAAGTTAATATATGATAAATTTAACTTATATTTACTGCAGAGCCTCTTCTTTAAAATAAGAACACTTTCATCTAAGTCTATAGACTCAGTAACAACGTCTCCTGAAGGCATCGATATACGAACAGTCAATGAAACAAGGAGATCAATGACTTCAATTGGTTGAACACCACGAGTATAATATCGGCATAAAGGTACTTCATTACTCAAAATATTTTCAATTGATCGACTGTAAAGCATTTGCTTAGAAACTGGTATTCCTTTGATTGCCTCTATTTGTTTTTTCAGTTCTCTAATTTTAGCTTTCAGGGGTATGTGAAAATTCTTCTTTATTCCTCCAGGAAGTGCCACTGTAAGGCTAGGACTGCAGTATGGATTAACTTGCACTTTGAACTTAATCACTAATCTACAAAAATCATTAATTTGCTTAGAATCATCATGTATAATACAATCATCTAAAAGAAGTTGTAGCTGTTCAATTGGTATTCCGGGGATCCT